TAGCTTCTAGTTGGAGGTGATCTGCAAGGGCGGGAAAAGAAAGTGGTTGGCGGGCCCATCCCTGACTCACCCACTGGATGGGCACCCAGAGTCTCAGGCTACCTGTGGCCTTAGGGAGCATGCCCTCAGCCCCACCCTACAGGATGGTGCTAATGGGGCAGTTAGGGTGGGGGGAGGGGGGAGGAGAGGGGGGCAGGGACCAGGTGGAGGGGGTCTATGGGGGAAAAAGGGGGACACCTGTAATACTTTCAACAATAAAGAATTATTTCCTTTTAATCCTGACCACACAATAAAGAGGAATTTTATTCATCTTGTAATCTCAGGACACTCTTCAATTAAAAAGGTCTAGAAATTTCAAAAAGTAAAGTGAAAGCCCTTTCACAAAGTTGACTCTCAACACCTAAGACCTGCTCATATTCCTCATTGTAAACATGTCAGGAAAGCACTTCCAATTAACGTTACAATTCAAACAAGTGTATGTTCAGTTATCTTATTACTCTTACAATTGTTTTTGATCAATTATTGTTTTGGATGAGCTCATAACTGTACTATTCGCACTTGTACAACTGTTTTTGAGCAGTCACACACATATCTCAGTTGGAGTTCAAATATGCACTGTGCGTACTATTCATTCATTCATCCCTTCAGCAAACACTGAGAGCCCACAGACTGGGAGTCAGCCCTGTACTGGATGCCAGTCAGGTCTTCCTATAATCAGGACACCACCAGTCTGTGAGCTGTTTGCTACTAGACCCCAACGAGATAATAAGTAGGGAAGCTGAGTTTTTTAAAAAATATAACTTAACCTTGCCACACATCCAATTTCACGTCTGCTTAATCTAATAATTTTTTAAAATCTGGCTTGCATTTATGTTTACTTCTTCCATTTCATTTCTCTAGTAATTCTATCGTATTTACAAAAGTATTGCCTAAGTCAGATGGGAATTTTTTTCTTGTCATTTACAGAAAAGTGAGGCCCTAACAGCTTAGATTGCTTTGCCCAAGCACCGCACTGGAGCTACAAGACAAGAAGAGCTCAGCCTCGCCGGTACGAGTCCGATTCGCCTCCAGTCCAGGGGTCGCCCCAGCCCGCATCAGAAGACACGCGCGAAGGTCCAGCATGTAAATGCCGCACAAAAGCGCCACAAAAGGAGGAGAAACTACAACAGCGCGCGCTCTGTTCAAAGTGTCCAGTGGGCCAAGAAGCAAGCCAGCCCCGCCCCCAGGCCCCGCCCAGGACCTCAGCCCCGCCCCCATTCCGGGCTCCGCCCCGGCTCCGCGTTCCACTCCCCGCGCCAGGCCCCGCCCCCGCCAAGGCCCCGCCTCCCACGTCACTGGCACAGCTCCCGCGACTCACCCGGGACTGCCCGAGCTCCGCCCTCCGCTGCAACTCCGAGTGCCGCTCCAGAGCGCTCGCGAAGCCGCCGGGGCGCGCTCTATCCTCCGTGGACTCGGAACTCTGGCTCCCGGAGCCACTCTCAGCGCCCGAGCCTCCATAGGGCCGAGAGAAGAGGAACATGCGCAGGAAACGACTCTCGGCAGTCACGGCACGGGGCCGACACAGCGCCGCCATGACGGCTCCAGACTGAACCTCTGACCTTCAACCTCTCCGCCAGCGTGCAGGTCACGGGCGGGGCTTCCGTCGCCCCGCCCACTTCCGCACAGCACTACCTGCGGGCGGGGCGCGGTGTAGCCAGCGCATGCGCGGAGTTGGAGGCGAGCCGGGAACCTGGCGGGGCAAGTCCGTGGCTGGAGGTGGGTGCTGGCCGCGGTCCGCTTCGTTTAGCGGGGACAGCGTTTTCGCCCCGGGAGTTTCGCCCTCCCAGGCATCGCGTGGGCCTGGTCCCGCTGCACATGCTGTCCCGCCGCCTGCGCGTGTGCCCAGGTGGCCGCACGGCTCGGCCCCCACCGCTCTTCGGGTCTTTGTCGGACCCCAAATACGCAGGGTCGGGCTCCCGGGTATTTGCTATGCCACTGGGCACTTCTTAATACGCCATGGATTGGCTTACAGTAGTTTTGTTCAGCGTCTGCGCCCCCATTTTGCTGTTGGACGGCCGACACCGGCCTCGGACATCTGTGAAATCCTGCTCCCAGTTGGTCTCTGCCTGTCCTGCGGCCGGTCCACCCACCTTCACCAACACGAGGCTTCCCGAGACCCGCTTGTCATCCCCACATCTCAGAGCCCTCCTAGGCCCTCCTAGGGATTGAGAGGCTCCGGATGGGCTTAAATATGCGCCACCGGAGGCCCCACCCTCACTCGTGATTTTTCTCCGAGTTTTCCCCCCATGTTAATTCACATGTTTTGTCCACGCTCTTCAAAGCCGAGCCCAATCCCATATTGAACAAGTGTTTACGAATTAAGCTGCCCAACAATCTTATATTAGTTCGGTAATTACTTATCTGTAATTAGTGATTTTTAAGATAAATTCCACTCCAAGTGAGTTCTTCCTTCAGGGCACTTAAACCATGTATTTCCCTTGGCCATTACTTGCATCTTGCACAAGACGTTTTTGCATTATTCTGTATGGCTGTTGCTCTTTCCTTCTACTTTAGGGAGAAGTGTGGTAACTTACAATGAACATTGGCCTGTGACCTTAAGACCCCTTAATTCACCCTAGCCAATTTGGCTCAGTGGACAGAGCATCAGCCTGCGGACTGAAAGGTCCTGGGTTCGATTCCCGTCAAGGGCACATGCTCCGGTTGCGGGCTTCATCCCCAGTGGGGGGTGTGTAGGAGGCAGCCAGTCAATGATTCTCTCCCTTCCTCTCTGAAATCAATAAAAATTAAATTAAAAAGAACCCTTAAATCTAGTCTGGACTAATCTTGGCCGCAGGCAACCCAATTTAATGTTAATTTGATTCCCTCACCGGTAAAACCAAATTATTAGACCCTGTGTTAAATTTAAGGAAGTGTGTGTAAACCTGCATCAGTATCTACAGGACAAATGGGATTAGTAACATCCCAGCTCTTAAATAACAGATGTATTGTGTTCCTGTCCTGCCTCAGCCAGATGATAAATTCCTTGAGGATTCTAACAACAGGTATTGGGACAAATCTTCAAGTTTTTAATATATGAGTGAGTTTGTATCAGCTGATTTCAAGTTGTGCTAAGTTCTCTGCCTTTAGCATAGCATCAGAGCATCAAATGGGAGGATGGGCATATCAGCAAGGAGGTATCCGCACAGGGTCCCGGAGCCACTCTCAGCGCCCGAGCCTCCATAGGGCCGAGAGAAGCACCAACCTGTTCAAGCACCAACCATAGCATCAGCGCTGATGCAGTGTCTTCATCAGATTCTGACCCTGCTCTACCCCTGGAGCCCCACCTTCTTTATTATATAGGCCGTTCCCCCTATCGCTTGCAAGTAGTTGGTAAGCTTTGTAAAAACATTAGAGATGGCCAATGGTAAGGAAAGTGAATAGGAAGTAGTTCAAGTCCTGGCTCCACATCCCCTGGCTGTGATCTCATCTATGAAAAGGTGATGCTGCCACACCCTTGGGTAAAATATTAAAGGAAATGAGCATACAATGCTAGCACTTAATGAAAGCTCAATAAAGAGTGACTACTAGTGGCGATATGGAGGTGATTAGAAATGCATGCCTCTTAAGCTTGCATGAAAACCTGGGGGGAAAGGATAGGGCTAGCCATACAATGGGGAGATGTTAGTATCTCAAGTCTTTTCAGCCATAGAGAAGAATACGATCATTAGGGAGTTCATGTAGAAGATGAGTGGGGACAGGCATAACATTTAAGGAGTTGAAATAAGAGAATACCAGGAAATAGGCAAACTGAAAAGTAAGAACAGAGATTCAAGCCTAGAAACCAAGGGGGAGACTTTAAAGCACGTTGAAATGGGAGTGTTAAAATGAAAGATATTACCCACTTAAAAATATTCAAACAACGAAATTGGTTTTTGCTGTATTCTAGGAAAACCACATTAAAATAACCACTACCAGCCAATCTCACTAAGTAACATCAAAATTACATAGAGAGTTGGCAAGGATTTTAGTTGCCTTATAGCTTTTCTCTAAATATGAAATCCTGGCAGGTGACAGGCATATGCAGACCCCACCCTCAGGTGGCTTACCTTAGTTTGGTTCATTTGTATTTCAGAATGAGGACAATATGAAAATTGTGAAATCTAAGGTTCTAAGTTTACTTGAAAGTTGATACTGCTTGCCCTCGTTGGCTTGCCTCAGTGGATAGGGCATCAGCCTGTGGATTGAAGGGTCCTGGGTTCGATTCCGGTCAAGGGCATGACCCCCAATAGGGGGCGTGCAGGAGGCAGCCAATCGATGATGCTCTCTCATCACTGATGTTTCTCTCTCTCCCTTCCTCTCTGAAATCAATAAAAAAAATATTTTAAAAAGTGATACTGCTTTATAGTAACTGTAATCTCACATAGTCCCTATAATTAATCAAATCACAATGGGACATTCACTAGTTAGTAGACAAATGTCTCCTCAGGGCAAAAATATGGTTTTTCATCTGGGTTTTCAGAGCTATAAAGAAATGGGTACAGTATGATCCAATTTATAAAGGATTCTAGAAAGCGCAAACAAGTGACCAAAAGCAGATCAAGGAGAAGAGGGGCCTGAGGGAGAGGTAACAAAAGGGCACAGGAAACTGGTGAGGGGGGCACCGGGTAGTGTTCATTGTGTCGATTGTGGTGGTGATCTGGTGAATGTGTACATATGTTGAAACATTAAACTGTACCCTTAAATTTGAGTCATTTTGGTATGTCAGTTATACCTCAATAAAATTATTTTTAAAAAGAAACGAGAAATCGATGTGATCCTGACAGGGCCTTCCCCAGCACCCACTCTGGCACATTCACACACATCCACCTGCAAAGGCTCTGGGTGGACAGCACGCAGCCTCCCGTTGGAGTCACTGATTCAGTTTTGTTTGGTAGCTGCTTGTGTTTCTCCATGTCCAGGACGTGGAGGGTCTGGAGAGAAGCTGTCCCACCTCAGGTGACACATACAAGACGACCCAAACCCAAAGTATAGAATTTTTATTGTTTTCAAATGCTATACAAAAGAAAAATAGACAGTGTGCATTTCTTGATTAACAGATCCAGAAATAGTGACCCCAAATTAAACATGCTTTTTTCTCTATTTCAGTAGTTTGAGTTACCAAGATGATAATCCAGTGAGTTCTCTCCCAGTGATTACTTTGGCCTCATAAGCAAAAGAATTATTTGTTTATTCCCACAAACTCCATAAACCAAAGACAGTTCCTTTGTAAGAAGGGGACATTTCAGAGGTGATTTTCTCCTCTGAAGCTTCTTGAATCCTTGAATATCTGAGAGTTTGCTCTCAAGTTGCTGTTTTCTTAGTGTCAAACATAAAACACAACAGAGGGAACTGGGAGTTCATAACGTGGAATCCTCACAAAGACCACTTTGAATATTTCCAAATCCATGTCTATTTTTCTAAATTCACCCTCCCCCTACTTTGACTACTTTAAGAGGCAACTTACTATGCAATAGATTAAATCATTTTTAGATTAAGTGTAGTGATTCTCTGATTTCTCCTTTCACAGCCATCGCCTATACCCCCACACACCCATCCCATTTCTACCCCATTTCTATCACTTCTCTGCATAAGCTAAAGAGACTTGAGGATATTTCACTTAGCTAAAAAGTTGCCGTCTTACTCCATTTTGCCTTGTTGAAAAGATAGTAACAGCAGGATGCTCAAGAAACAACATGATGAAAAGGTATTGTGATAAAAAACTTAAAGATGACATAGTTGGTAGAAAAATATAACTTAACAGTTATGCTGAGTAACCACAATATTTCTATTTAAAAAAGAAACATATTTCTACAGATCTCCTCGGGGACAATGCTGCAATGACCTTCGCCTTAAATCCTCTATAAGGAAATAATTTATAATATGTTAGCCTAATCCCATTAAGTGATGATTTAAAGGGGATGGTAAAACACAACATCCCCCTTTTTTAGCATAGACACCCACTGATTATTTAATACAACAAGCTGTTTGCAGACCACTGGTTTCACAGTAATATCGAGATCTATACTATTGGCATACAGAATTTATTAAGCTTTTTACACATAACAGAGCAGAGTTCCTATTGCATCTAAAGTGCTAACAAGCTCTAATAATCAAGACGGGCAGCATGTTACTTGAGAACAGTCAACACTTGTGCATTTTCAAATGTGGTTTCTTAAGATAATTTCTGTCCAAGTGAATCTAGCCATGCTTTTTAAAAACGCTTTAGGTCACTCCAAGCTTGGCAATTAACATCTGGCATAAACAATAATAAAACTATCACAACTTGATAAATAACAAATACAACATTATAGGCCATAACCATACACAGCAGAAGGAAAAGGTAGTGGTGACGAATCAGTAGCTGCTACAATTAACAGAGCACATGCCTCCATGCAGTTCCTTCCAGAGTATCTGGTGCACTCAGTCCTGACACGCAGTGTTTGAAGCAGGGCACAATGTCTGCAGAATCATGTAATAATTTCTAACACACTGAAAACATGTCAGTAGAAAATGGTGAGTTGATTTTTATTAATGCATTAAATCCTGTGGAGTTATCACCAACCCCTTAGTATAAAATCTGTTCAAATTATATTAGATAACTCTGTGTGCTTCTTATTTTTAAATGGTGGGAAATGAATTAAATGAAGACAGGAATGATTTCCCTAATATGACTGATTTTAGCATTTTTACCTCTAACTAGGTCTAAAAAACTTCTGGCTTTTGAATTGATTATTTGAAGACAGTGTTCCTATATCAACCTACTGATAATACAACATGCTTGATTCAGAATGTTATCCTGCATACTCTGAAATACAACTTTAATCCAGTGAAAAACGGAGTGATGTAAATGGCATAAGAACCAGTGCACTGAAATGATTACTGTCACAAATGGTGACAAGGATGTGGAGTCCCTCTCCAGTCACTAAGGAGTTTGAATTACTGTACATATTGTCACTTATAAAACTACTAGAGGCCCGGTGCACGAATTCATGCATGGGTGGGGTCCCTAGGCCTGGCCGGCGATCATGGCCGTTCGGGGCCATCTAACCCAGTCCCAATCTGGGCCAAGCCAATCGGGGCCTGCTGGCCAGGGGGAAAAACAGTGGGAGGGACCACAGGAGGTTGGCTGTGAGAGTGCACTGACTACCAGGGGGCAGCTCCTGCGTTGAGCATCTGCCCCCTGGTGGCCAGTGCACATCATAGTGACTGGTCGACCAGTAGTTCCGGTCATTCGGTCATAAGGGTTGCTTAGGCTTTTATATATATAGATAACTAGTGGGATGTAGAACTGATGTACTTAGTTTTCTGTCTTCAGGCACCCAAGATATAAGATAACCTCACACCCAAACAATGTCTTTTCCACAATGTCTGCAGCTGGTAGTTCTTCCCTTGGAGGTGAAGGAAATTATGCCAAGACTTTTAATAACCAGGATTCAGAAAACTTAAAGAGGTTTGAAAAAGGAGGAAAAGAAAATGACATAGAAGACAAAGACCAAACTGGCATCCCAGATCCAGAGCGATTTGGGGAAGCGGGGAATCCATGCTGACAGCCTGCCACTTCTCCAATCACCCTAGCGAGGGTCCCCGGGTACCACCGTGTTTGTGTAATGGTGCTTCCTACGTCAAGGGCCTGAAAGGCACATTGAAGGGTGTTTCCCAGGGACAGAGGTGAAGATATTTTTATTTTGTTTAACCCACAGACTATTTAGTCAAAGGAATACATAAGGCGAAATGAAAGCACGTGGGGTGGGATTCACGGCGATGAACGCTGACAAGATGTGCTTGGGTCTCGCTGGCAGCATCTGGCAGTGGTGCAGGACAGCGGCAGGACCTCACGGGCCCGCCTGGGTCTGCTCTGGAAGAGGCTCCGTGGCCGTGGCACTAGCACTGGCAGTCGAATTCAAGACGTCTCCGAAATCACCGCCGGCAGGCTTGGTCCCCCCTACTTTAGACTTTTTAAGAAGTTCAAAAAGGAAGAGACATCATGAAACACACTTAGCTGTCTCTAAGAAATTACACATTTCTTTTCTTTTCAGCATTTAGGATGCTACAACGTACACTCAAAACACTGATTAAAACTGATCACCTTAAATGTATTAATCATGTAAATAATAAAGTTATTAAAGTTCTTTAAAATAGTAATCTACCCACACCAAAGAGAGTTCAGGCAGCAAACAAGATAATAAAAAAACCATGTTCACCTCTCTACTTGCCTTTAAGTTTTCAACCTTCTCTTCAAATGATTTGAAAGTTGGGGAGTTTCTATGGAGAGAAAAAAAATATATATACATATAGTAAAAAAAAGAAAGCCACAAATGTTGAAGCCATCATTAGTTGACTGTATTCCTCTTAGCCATTACTCTCAGCAAAAGAACAGGTATCTCTGTCGACCCCACAGGTGTGCAGGCGCACACACAGGTGTATTGTGGAAAACTGTCCACTTCTATTCTAAGATTTCTACAGTGATGCTTTTGGCCCAGAAACAAAGCCAGTCTAAGACATATAAACGGAGATACAGTCAAGTGCATGTGTGGTAACACACCAACTGGTCAGGTAACACACCAACTCTTGTCACTTCCCCAACCCACGTGTCACCGCAGGTCAGTTTAGCCTGGCTAAGGCACCAAGCTCTAGAACTCGCGTTGAAGTCCACATGTTGCCTGGCACGACTCCTGCGTGAATCCACATCATCAAGCAGGACACGCCAGCCGGAGGCAGTCCTGTAACAGGGATCAGCTCCCCAGGGGGCTTCATAATAGAGGAGGAAGGAGCCCACACACCTGGCTCCGCTGCTTCACAAAGCTGCCCCGGGCAGAAGCTCTGGCCACGGAGAGCCCCTCCCACGCCTTCAGGCCCATCCACATTCATCCAGGGGGACCCAGTGCCTTGGTCACTCCCATGGGGTGGCTGCGTGTTACTATCCACCCAACCTCGAACACCCTTCCTGCCACCAAGACGAAGGTGAGGGGAGGGGACAGGGCCTTCCTCCTTGCACAGTGCCCATGGGCAGCCAGTCCCAACATGTGGTCCCGGACTAGCTGCATCAGTAGCTCTAGGCAACCTGTTCAGTGCGGATTCTCAGGTCCCACCCTAGGCGGACAAAATCAGAAACTCTAGGGGGGGTGGGGGGGCGGAGGGGTGGCAAGCAGGGGGCCCTTAACAAACCCTCCAGGTGGTTCTGCTGCCCACTGACAGTGAAGCCAAACAGGTTGTTGGTGACCCTCCACCTGCCTCTCTGGGGAGGTAGGTGAGGTCCTGACATGTAGGATTTGCAAGGGCATCCTCATGAAAAAGGACAGAATTAAGTCACGGGTGGTTCCAAACATCCCTGGGGAATGAGGGACCTGGAAACGGAGGGTGGAGAAAGGGCAGTGTGACTAAGCTACGGTGGACGGAGGTCCGGGCACCAGCATTTGTGAGAAGAAAGGGTTTATTTGATGAGTCGTGGTCATATTTTCAACGAAACAGATTTCAGGTATAAAACAATAGATTTACAAAATAAAATAAATAATTTTTTTTTTTAAAGAAATCACAGCATTTAATGGAGCTCTCACACCCATCCTATCGTGCTAGGAGGAGCAGCCGAAAACTGATCCAGAGCCTAAAGCAGCGGCTTGTTTAGGGAGAACTCTGGCTTCCACTTCAGAAAGTTCCTGGTGATCATCTCAACAGAGACAAAGAAAGCAGAAGACCAACAACACTGTAAAAACATACTTTACCTCATGGCGGGCATGCTAATTGAATGCTGAATGGAGCGTATACTAAGGCAGCATTAAAAAGAGAAAAATGAAGTTAGTACACGGGTGATGAGACAAGATAAAACAAACAGAAGTCGGCTTTTAGAAGCATGTTCCTGTGACACTGTGAAGAATTATCTACTTTTTGAGGTGGAGGGGGTCAAAGTTACTCTAATATGTACTTCTACTCCTGAGCCAGTAGCTAACAGCCAACAATTCAACCTTGCATGTTTACAGCATTGGTGGAAATTGTATCTGTTGGGCATCAAGCACCCGGCTCAGAAGTACAAGTTTATGGCGGAATCAAGAATGAAACCCAGATCACCCAGTCGGTTTGGCTCAGTGGTTGAGCGCTGACCTCTGAACAAGGAGGTCATAGTTGGATTCCCGGTCAGGGCACATGCCCAATTGCAGGAGCAATCCCCAGTAGAGAGCGTGCAGAAGGCAGCTGATCAATGATTCTCTCTCATCACTGATGTTTCTATATCTCTCTCCCTTCCTCTCTGAAATCAATAAAAAAAAATATTTAAAAAATGGAACCCAGGTCTTTGGGACTCCCAATTTAATGTCTGCCACCTCCCCTCAAAAATCAGTGCACACACATACAGGTACACACACACACAAGCCAGGCCAGGGGAGGGCTCCTCGGCCATCTTTCTCCCACGTATTATTTGTCACCAGAACAGGAAAGTTCAAAACGAATCGCCTATTTGGTGATGTTAAGTGATTTACATATGCCTCCTTGGTAGTAGTCACACCAGTTTTCTAAGTAAGAGACACTTGTATTTCACATCAATTAAATGAAATGTTCTTAATGGTCATTCACATAACATTCGGCCCGTTTGACTAGGACCAACTTCTTACTCAAGGGCAATGCGTTCACTGACCGCTCAGGGTCAAGGTCGCCTCCTCTCAGCCGCCTCCCACAGAGGCCACCTCACAAGAAGGCCTTTCCTGGGTTCACAGTCAGGGAATCCCGCTGATGCTGTTACTGGGCTTAGAACATTCTGACAGCACTTTTGGTAAATAATTTCCTTTGGGTAAATTGGACAATTTAAGGTATTAATTCTCTATTCCTTTTTAAAAATCGTGTGTGTGTGTGTGTGTGTGTGTGTGTGTGCGCGCGTGTGTGTGTGAGATTTAATTTTCTCAAAGACTCAGCTGTTACAAGTAACAATGTGTTTCCAGGGTAGCTCCCCAAAACTAGCTTTGCATTAATATTTAATAATATGAAATATGATCTTGATATAAATCAAGATATGCTGGCAGCTGGTGTAGTCAAGATAATGAGTAAACCAACCACTTGGACATCTTCAGACTTTGCTGGGGTCCAACCCCAGCAGGTCCAGGGGTCCCCAAAGGTGTGGACAGAGTCGGCGAAGAAGGAATGACACGGAGACAGCATTCAGTTGATCAGCAGCCTTGCCAGGATCTCTAGCCACAATCTCCAGCCAAGTTCTGGTCTGGATCTCCAGCCAAGTTCTGTTCAGGATCTCTAGCGAAGTTCTGGTTAGGATCTCCAGCCAGGTTCTGTGTCTATGTTCTCTTGCTAGGTTCTCCAGCCAGGTTCTCCAGGTTATCCAGCCAGGTTCTGTAGCCATGTTCCCTCGCTAGGTTCTCCAGCCAGGTTCTGTCCAGGTTCTCCAGCCAGGTTCAGTCACCATGTTCTAGTCAGGTTCTCTTGCCATGTTCTATCCAGGTTCTGTAGCCAGGTTCTGTCTCTAGGTTCTTCAGCCAGGTTCTCTCGCTAGGTTCTGTCTCTAGGTTCTGTGGCCAGTTTCTGTCCAGGATCTTTTGCCATGTTCTCTCCAGCGAAGTTCTTCTGTCTCTAGGTTCTGTGTAGGTTCTGTGTCTAGGTTCTGTGTCCTGTTGTCTTGTTACATCTGTATTTATACCAGTTGATTCCAATCCTATCAATCTCTATTCCAAAGGTTAGGGCGTTTCTTATCTCCATTCCAGGGAGTAAAGATTATGTAGCTTAAGCATGATTGTTCGTAGTTAAAGTGATTAATTACCCGCCTGGCACTTAGTTAAGGGGTTTTATTCCCTCCCTAACTTCAGGGGAAAATCCCTACCTGGGGAAACAACCTTTCTCAGAGAGGTGACCTTGGTTAAAACACATAGTGCCAAGAAGGTGAGCAAACATATTAAGAACAGTATGCCATATATGCCAGGTCCCTTGAAACAGCAAGGATGGACCGGCTCCTGGCAAGACTTAATGTCTTCATAACACAGGAAAAGACCCACACACATTCTCTCTGTCCTAGAACGGTGGGCATCGATTCTGAGAGAAATCTGCTAATTCTTTGCCTGCTTGATGTTGGATCCATATTTGAAGGATAGAAATTAATCAAATAGGACTCCAGATGTTACTGGCCCCTCCTGGGGACCCTAAAAAAGCTGCCTACAGCCAAACAGCCACACTGCCACTTCGGCCAGCGTCACATGACACCTGGACCATAGCTACCCTCCTGGTGATGTACAAACTGTTTGGACTGAATGGAAAAAAAAGAGCTCAGACGATTGGGATTCTCGCTAGAGAGGCTGTGATCAGGACACTCAGCCGCTGTCCGTCAGTGGCAGATCCTTGAGCTCAAATGTCCAGGAAGACATTTTGGGGCCCAGGTGCCGGCTGCAAGAACGGAGAGGAGCCCAAAACAAGTAAAAAAGAGCTATAGGTTTATATAAAGAAACACGTTTTTTTTTAAAAAAAAGGAAATCTCCTTTGGAAATAAAGACAAATTAGCACTTCCTCTTATGTATACCAAAAATACTTGCTAATGAGGCTACTGAATTATTACATATGCTATTAAACACTCTAACATCGATGTTCCTCATCAGAACCAAGAGGTGGTTTAATGTATTTTTCTCAAAACATTAAAGCAAGAGTCAGTGCTAAGCACATGTATGTAGAAGGTAAGCAAAGGAGAGGCTGAATCTGAGCTCGCCAACGGGAAAGCTGGCCGTCTCCAGAGGGCCTCCAGGCTAACACTCCTCCCCGCCTCCCTCCCTCACTGCACCTGCCTCTCAGGGTGTCAAAAACAGATCTCTCCTCGCCCCCCCCACCCCCCCACCGCACACCCGCTCAAGGCTTAAGACAGATATCCAAATCCCAAGTGCTAATTTATTGATTGACCACATAAAATAAAAACTGCAGCTGAGCTTAACAATTCCATTCAGCAGAATTCCCACAATTCCTGTAGACTGAGATGCCTGCCCCTGTCCTCTGGGTGAGCGAGGAGCCAGAACAAAGGGGACTTAACAGGATAAACCGGCCACTCCAGGGGCGCCTATGTCCAGAATACGCCTGCTGCTTCGAGAGAAACTATCCCAGCTCCCTCTCCCTGCAGGGTCCTCGGGGGCGCATGGCTTGTATTTGCCTCTGCAACTCACTGATTTAAAAGATGTGGTTTTGCCCTAGCTGGTTTGGCTCAGTGGGTAGAGCATTGGCCTGCAGACCAAAGGGTTCTGGGTTCGATTCCCGTCAAGGGCACATGGCTGGGTTGCAGGCTCAATCCATAGTAGGGGGCGTGCAGGAGGCAGCCAATCAATGATTCCCTCTCATTGTTGAAGTTTCTATCTTTCTTCCTCTCCCTTCCTCTATGAAATCAATAAAAATATATTTTTTTAAAAATAAATAAAAGATGTGTTTTTCTTTACATATGTTTCCTGTTAGGTATGTTTTCATGTTTCCTATTCTAGATGAACACATTAAGTCAGGTTACAATCAGGACTTCTTGACCTAGAAATTATTTTTTAAATGACTTTCCCCAAGTTTTAATCTGTAAGAATTAATTATCAAATTTAGCTTTCAAAAGACAATCTTATTTCTCTCATTTCCAAGTTTTAATCAAAAGCCTTACTTTAACTTCTACATACTGGCATGCAATAGATCATTAAAGACAGGGCTGGCAGAGGAGGAGCACATCCGCTCAGTAATGTTCTTTTAAAGAGGAGAGAAGGGATTGCGGGTGGCGCTGGAGAGGAGCAGCGACACTCAGTGCCTTTACAGTGAAGCGCTGAGGCGGCGTGGGGCTCCCCCTCACGCATTCGCTGGCTCTTTCCAAAGCAGAACGAGAGCAGTGCTCAGACGGACGCAACGTCATTTCTCCAGAGCACCACACGCTTTCAGGTCTGTGTTCAGATCACATCTAACGCTGTTTGTAACCAGGTAGGAACACAGCTCTCCACTCCCAGCTCCTGGCCAGGCCCCACTCTCCTCCCGCTCCATCCACCCAAGATGTTCAGGTCCTTCCCAAAGGGACCAGACGGGTGAGTGGCTGTGCTCTGGCCCTGCCCCCAGCAGCCACCTGGATGTCTGCAGGATGGAGGATGGGACTGAATACGTACTAGGACTCACACAGCTTTAGAGACAACTGGCGAAACCACTACCTGGAGCACTAGACCATTTTTTAAAAATCTTTATTGTTGAAAGTATTATACATGTCCTCCCCCACTGACACCCTCCAGCCCCTGCACCCGCACCCCTCAGGCCTTCACCTCTGTATTGTCTGTGTCCATGGGTTATGCATATATGCACACAAGGTCTTTGGTTGATTATCTCCCACCACCCACCCACCCTCCCTGCCTTCCCTCCGAGATTCCGCACTCTACTCCATGCTTCCATGTCCCTGGCTCCACTCCGTCACCGGTTTATTTTGATACTTAGATTCCACATTGAGAGAGAACAATCAGGAGAGAACCAAGATGGCGGCATAGGTTAACGCCGGAGTTTGCTGCCTTGAACAACCACTTCAAAAGTGAAACTAAAAGACGGAACAAACATCACCCAGAACCACAGGAACGCTGGCTGAGTGGAAGTCCTACAACTAGGAGGAAAGAGAAACGCATACGGACACTCAGAGGAGGCGCAGTGCTGAAGTCAAATTCGGAGGTGCGGAGCGGGCTGGCGGCGGAGGGCGCGGTTGGCGTTTTCAATCGGGAGGGAGTCGCAGACTCTGAGCTCCAGATCCGGGCGAGTCTTTAGGGACCCAGACTCAAACGGGAGAAACGGGACTGTCTGG